GCAATACATTATCAATAATAAAAGGTAACTGATTATTAGGCGGTACATAGATAGCAGCTATATGTAAATTAGAGCCCACGACTGAATTAAAAGATTTAGCATGTATGGTAACCCAAATCATTTCCGTCGATGGTACAACCCCATTATCATTTATGATAAATGCTTCCAGATCCCTTCGCACCAGTATCATGACCCCCTATCCCGAGATGTGTTTGTGGAGGTTAGATCACGGTCCAACCGAAAAATATCATATCCAGAGTCACTGAGTTCACCATCTAAAATACCATCGTGAAGCCAGGTCTCCGTAATAATGACTATGTCAAAATTATTTATATTTAAATTCCTATAAAATTCTAAGGTTTTGGTACGGAGACCTCTTGTATTCTGGTAAAATATACTAAGGCATGTATTATTCATTATGATCAATTAATAACATATATGTTAGTGTAATTTGAGATGGATATAAACTCGTTTTTAATATTAATATATAAAGAATTATCGCTCGTAAGTGATCCCGTAAATATTGCCTACTTTTGACGGTACTTATAGAAATAATTTGTCTCGAACAAAACAAATTATATAAGTAATGGTCTATAATAGTTTGGGAATGTGGGTTATGAACATGATTAGAGCAATAAAGAGTTATCTGAGTAACATTTAGTAATAAACGGGGTACACAAATATTTCTGACAGATGTAATATTAACTAAAATTACTGTCATACATAGTCGTACTATGAAATAATGTATATAATTTAGAAAAATAATTTCATTTAGGAAAAGTGTATGGATATTATATATAATGTTAAAAAATCTATATATTTTGTATATAAAGCATTAATTTTCAGCCAATACTGGGAAATATGAATCGTTTCTTTTAAACTTGAGCGTAGGATTTTAACCAAACAGAACGTTTTTTTTTGTTTAACGCGCTTTACTTCAAAACATGTATTAAAAGAAAGCACTTGAGCATATACAATATTAAAAGAATATGACCTTCGCATATAAGATGATAATTGTGTACGAATACAGAAGAGTATAAAAAGTATTTCACTCAAACTTGAAGTTATAATTTTAATCGTGCAGATCGATTTTCTGCCGACTTCCAAAAAGGAGCCGGTACTCAATTCGACTGTATGTTTTTTTTTTTTTCGTTTTTTTTTTTTTTTTTATGTGTGTTACCTCAGAACTTTTTTCTGGGTGAACCGATTTCGATGATTCTTTTTTTATTTGAAAGCTGGTACTTCTCGTGTGGTCCCATATGAATTTGATCAAGGTCAGACCAATAGTTTTTAAGTTATTCTTAAATAACTTATATTGAAGTCGGCTGTACAAAATTTTTAATTTTAAATTATAGTACAACAGACTGTGTTCGTACACATATAACATAATGCATTTCAGACTTACGTAAATAGCGCCAATATCTTAAATTATCACATGTTTTAAGTAGATATCCATTTGAACTCAAACGTTGAATGCACCGTAAATAATTGGTGAACAACATTTGTCGTAATTGAATAAATAATATAATGGTGTTGTTATTATTAATTTTTTGTAAGTAGTAACGTAATTTTATTAGAATATTCACTGATATAGTATATAATTCGAACGAATACACAATCATTATCCATCTTATTCGTAAGGGAACGAATGAATAAGTTTTATTTAATTTCAATAATATCATAATAATTTTCAAACTAAAAAATGATCGCAGACACATTATATTTTTACATACACATGACATAAGTGTAAGATAATGTTGAAAATACAAAAGTATAAAAAATAAATCGGTAATTAGTTGCAAACTTAAGCCCACAATATTTAGATTATAAAGCTTGAACTGTATTAAAGTAACTATCTTTATTTTTAAATAAAAATTCCTATTAGCATAATTAGAAAGACTTGAGGTAGTAAATATTATGATAATGAAATTTAGAAATATTTTTTGTGTCTAATGCAATAGTTATGGCGTTTAGTAGAATTGATAATTAGCAAAGAGGTCATAAGTAAACCAAATAGAAATATTTTTTTTGTGTATATTATGGTGTTATCGTTTAGTGTGAGTGTGGAGAGTGTTATATTAAACGTTAGTATTAATATAAAATAGAATATATAATATAACAATACTAGTTTTTTGTATCTAATGCAATAATTATGATGCTTAGTGTGATTGATAAATAGTAAATAATTTATTATAAGTAAACAGGAATAATAAAATAATATTTTTGTGTGTTTAATGTGGTTGTTTAGTAAAGGAGTGGAAAGTGTTATATAAATCATTAATATTAAAGTAAAACAAAGTAAATGAAATAACAATACGTTAAACCAAGGGCCGCAGAATCGTAGAGAGATGAGCAGTCACTTAATTCTTGCAAGATCTTCCTCTTTGTTCACCACAATCTTCGGCGACTTGTCGTTTTTTCGTACAAAAATTTTACAGTTTCTTATCCATATGTATTTGTAAGAACTTGTTTTCACCAATTCACGGCACTTATTATATAATATTTTATTTTTAATCGTTAGATGTTCATTTACATATATTCTTTGATTACGCTGCATGCCTATATTGTTGCGGGTGATACCACGAACGCGTCGAATACCAGCTAGTATATTGTCTTTCGCTGATTTGGTTTTCATTTTTGCAATTATTGCTCGTGTAATTCCAGGTCTTGTAATTTTTGCTTGCACTCTATTAGCGAATTCAATGTCGCATGACGTGATGACCACACCCGCATGTTTTGCTACAGCAATGACAATATCGACGGTGTTCTCGTTGCATGTCTCCGGTACCCCCACGATTTCAAGATTATACAGCCTTTCCCATTGTTGACGTTTCTTAAGGTCCAAAGTAAGATTGGTGTATTTAAGTTTAAGCTCACTGAGTTCCATCCCATATTGTTTATTCTTTTGAAATTGTTGATCTATACTTAATAATTTGGCGTCCACGTTATCTTGGCGGTTACTCGAGTAATTGACTGAACTTTCAATGTCATTGAGTTTTTTTCTGATTTCCGATATCGATTCCGTATTAGAGGCACTTTTATTGGATATGGTATTTATATTAGTTTTTAAATTTTGCAGATCCGAAGATAATTTACTGAGTTTTTCGGAAAGTACAGAATTAACTGTTGTAACTATAGTTTGTGTGACGTTTTCCATCATTTCTTTTTGCCATTTCTTGAAAAAACATTCAAGGTCTGAGACTGTTACGCTGTTCTCCAGAGACGTTCCCTCGATTTCATGCTGTCTTCTTTTTCGGACGATTGACGGATCGAAATATTCAAAACTTGACAAATCAGGAACTGAACTGGATGTAGAAGAATGTGGAGGAGTTATCTGCATTTCAATGCGGGTATCTGTCATTAGTTTAGAGGCGCGCTTCGCCTTTAGTATATGGCAGGTAGATATTATATAGGAATGCAGCGCGCGTGCGGCGTCCCTTTCACTCAACCTACTCGATGATAAACCGAGCGTAGTTACGACCGAACTGCGCACACATTTTAATTATAGAATTATGTAGGAGTGAAAAGTGTAGACGTGCGACTCGCACGAAGACACACGGCGTTATGATATATTATTAAGTTGTTATATAAAACATCATGGAGGGCAGACAGTCTGCAGCCCCGCAATGAAGGGACCCGACTTGGGCAAAGCTACTTAGGTTGTGAGTCAAACCAAGACGCAGAGAGCGCCATTGAGAATAGCGACCCGCCAAACAACCATCGTAGAGACGCAATGCTACAGAATGCAACAAGCATCAATACGACTATCGTCTTGCTTACACCATCCCAAGGTCCCCCCATACAGTCCCAGCAGACATCACCACCCGCATACCTCCATCGACTAGAACCACAAGATGCGTCAATTCAGGTGCAGCACACCCGCAGATCCATCACGAGACGCAATACTGCAAGTAGCAGTAAGCATCAATGCAACTATCATACGGATGGCGCCCCTTCACAACACACCTACATGATCCCTATCGACTTTGGGAACAAAATTGATAATGTTGTTAACTAAAAATACCACCAACGTATGATAGTAGCACGGTACTAAGACGTAAGTAGCCAAAACTCCACGTATCATAGCGCTATTGCACTAAGACATGAAGTTGAGTATGCTTGCTGCACTTAAAAGTACTACCAAACACACTCACCCTAATCCGAAAGATAGCCGACGTATCATAACGCTATGCGCTAAGACGTCGCCCACAAGTCGTATTGCTACAACAAACCCGCTTACCACCGGCACTAAGATGATATGTCTAGGACACATCGGTTAGTGAGTCCAAGTTTACCTCGGTCTCAGAGGCTGCGAAGCAACCTACATGCCACTATAATAATCCTTTTCAAGTCCCATTTCTTTCAATATAATGCTTTTACATATTTGAGACCTTCCACATATTTGCTTTATTTCAAAGACCATACTATTGTATGTCTTATTCATATGGGACGTCAAGTCATAACTCTACTATCATAATGCTTATGCATCATAGAGACCTTCTATATTAATGCTTTGGTTCGTTAGACCTTACTATGATAAGTCCCTAATATAAGACTAGTCATAGTGCAACCTTAGTACTAGCAGTCGGTCAGCCGACCACTCCATATATATGTACAACCTTGGGTATGTGTCTCCGGCAACGCCCCAATATAAGGGAACATTACAAGAACACGTTAATCAAATGTTATTTATCTTTGTTATTGCAATATAATCGCCTTGTATTTATATGATTTGATACATTTTGAACATTTTGAGCAGGTTTTTAATAAATTTAGAGATTTTTAGAGACATTTATACGTTTACTAATATTATAATATTCAATATTCCAAATGGATATTTTTGAACTTTATGCTTATTATTTGCATTTAATTGTTTAAATTATAAGTTCTATGATATTTTTAAATCTCTGAATAATGAATTTTATTATTATTTATTAATAATAATTATGAGGCGTCACACAATCTTGTAATAAATCAGCTGGAATTAGTTCATCCCAACTTTAAGCTAGCCATAACCTTTGAATCAACATCTTTGCTAAAATAATGCTTAGCGCGATCCATCCTAAAGGATCGTATAGTCGTGCTATAATTGATAATATTGTTCTTTTTGTTTCAGCCCCAGTCGTCGTCTTCGGAAGATTCATTGAATAACGAAAATGATCTTCACTTCGGTCCCAGCTAATACCTAAAATCTTTGTTGTGTTCTCTGTTTTGACCTCGATTTCATTGTTGTCCTTCAAACTTTCAGTTTCCTTTAGTTTTAGTATATTTTGTATGTCCTGTATGTTGCCTTCCTGCATTTCCCTTCTCTGTTTGTACTCCTTCAACATATCCTTATCAGGTGTGTATTCTTCATTCATGTCTGCTAGCTTTTCATTTATGCTTATTTGTGATAATAGTTCCCCATTGTTGCTGTTCCATTTTTTTAGCTTAAATCCACCTCTAGCCAATAGGTCCGTCATTTGCTTATAAACTTCCATTCCTTCCTTGTTGTCACAACATTCTGTCATTAGGTCATCCATGTAGAATGCCTGTAATACCCTTGGTGCTGCCAATGGGAAATTCTTGCCCTCATTCAAGCTGAGTTGGTTCAATACTCTTACGGCTAAATAAGGGGCGGATGCAATACCAAAAGTCACAGTCAAGAGCTCAAAATCTTCTATTTCACTTTCAGGGTTTTCACACCACACAATACGTTGAAATTTCGTGTTGTCTTCAGCTACTCTGACCTGCCGATACATTTTAATAATGTCAGCTACCAGCACAATCGGATCAATTCTCCAACGCATTACTAAGTGACGCAAATCTGCCTGTAGTCTGTGTCCTATCATTAAAGTTTCGTTAAGCGAAACACCATAATTATTTTTACTTGATGCATTAAAACGACTCTAACTTTCGTAGTTGTTTTGTCCTTTCTAACGACTGCATGGTGGGGTAAGTAAACAGCTTCATTAATTTCATTATTATCTTTTCTTAAACGTCTCATGTGACCTAATTGTAAATACTCATTTATGACCTCCGTGTAGTTCTTCTTTAGTTCTAAATCCTTTGATAGCCTTTTCTCTAATGCCTTAAAGTTTCTTACAGCTATTTGTCTCGAGCCACCACCCAAACAACGCAGTTGGTTGTCCCGAAATAGCAGTTTCACTATGTAGCGGCCTTCGGTTGTTTGTTTTGTTGTTCTTGTAAATATTTCTTCACATTTTTGCTCTTCTTCTGACCACATACTTTTTGTACTTCATGGTTGTTCTTCTAATTCCCAAAACTGTTTTAAAATATCATGTTCGTTTATTTTTGCATGCATTACAGATATTTTATAATTATCTATATCAATCTCACTGCTCTCATTGACTATACCAGACACGATCCAACCTAGAGTGGTATTTTGGGCAATTAAAGATCCATTGGGACTTTTTTTCACACCATCCATCAGAATTTGGCTGAACACATTCGCTCCTAAAAACATATCAATTTTGTTAGACACATTAAACTTAGGACCTGCCAGGCATAACTCTTGTAAGACTATCCAGTCAATGGATTCAATTTTTTGTTCTGGAAGATAAGATGTTATGTTTTTAGAACATATGCTTTGACCTGGATTTTATAATTACTATCAATCCGAGACTTAAGATTAATAGCAACAACATATTTTGTCGTTAAAGCTTTATCTTCTCCTAGGCCAGTATTTGTTGCTCTGCTAGGACTCTTTTTGAGTTGTAAAAGTTGAGCTGCGGCTTCTGTTATGAAACAAGCCTTAGAGCCCTGGTCTAAAAGAGCTCGTACTATTTGGTTTTCACCAGATTTAGACTCGGCATTTACTAGCGCAATATCAAGTAACACCTATCCGTACCCTGATATTTTACGCATCGACAGACACGAGACTATCGCAGAGTTCTTAGCTTCTGAGCTAGTACACACAACTGACTCTTTGATAGTAGCACCCATATCTGCCTTCTCTTCTTCTGGATGTGAGAGTGAATGATGGCGTCGTTTACAAATCCTGCAAGTCGTAGGCTTATTGCACCCGTACACAGTATGATTCCTACCCAAGCAATTAAAGCAGATGGAATTTTTGGCTACGAAGTCACGTCTTTGTGCACACTTTAATTTTGCAAATTTTTTGCAAAAGCATAATTTATGGTGATCTGAGCAAAACTCACAGCGCATTGAAACATTTGTGGCCAATAATGCTTTAGGTTTTGTACTCGAATTGTTATTATATTGTCCTATATTGGCCTTTTTTGTATCTGTGAACTCTAATGCACGGAACCGGCTTTCCATAAAACACTTAAGTTGTTCTAAGGTTGGCAAATCATTTAAATCGGAAAAACTAGAAATATGTAGCTCCCACTGTTTACGCGTTTCCGCATCCAATTTAAAGGTAACAATATATATAACGATAATATCCCATGTGCTCACATCTACGTTAATGTTTTCTAAAGCGTTCATACAATCCATGGTTGTGTCCAATAACTCTTTTATACCTGACGCGGATTCTACATATAGCCGTTTCTTCCCATACAAACGTTTTAATATACAGTTTGCTAAATATTTTTTATTGTTATAACGTTTTTCTAACAGTGACCAACATGTAATATAATTTGCATCTGTTATTGGTGTGTGTCTTATTAATTGAGCAGTTTCACCCGTTAAATGAGTCTTTAAATAGTGTAACTTCTGAACATTCTTGAGCAAATCATTATTATGTACCAATGAAACGAATAAATCGCGAAACGTCGTCCATTCTGAATAATTTCCGGAAAAATCAGGAATAGTTATTTTTGGCAATCTCACTAACGGGCTAGGCTTCTCATCACTATTAACATTTTTATCGTTCGATTCATTTTCGGATAACAAAAATTGACTTAAAACACTTTTCATTAAAGATTTATACACTAAATAATTGTCCTCAGTTATTTCGTAAATTTCTTTACTTACATACGTTGTACTATCTAATTGTCCTTGTTTTGTTATTTCAAATAATTTTGTATTATTTGATCTAAACAATAACCAATCTCTTTCAAAATTTTCTAATCTTGCTTCTACATATTCTTTTGTTAATCTTTCTTTTGGACTTTTTTTAGTTTGGCAAGCCCTTTTTGATTGAATTATGTAAATCTAATTGAACATTTATCAGACCTTCCATTTTATTGGCCTATAAAATTTTAATCTTCTTCAGAACCTCGGTAATAAAACTCCAAAATTTTTAAGAAAGTTTTACAAGTGTTTTTAAACTTAAATAAATTGAGTAAAAATTAGTCAGAGATTCCTCGTTCCCTCGTTTTTTGCCAAACTATTCTAAGTCCTTACTACTAACATACAAAATATTCTAATTTAATATCGGAAATCACTAAAATATTACAAGTCTACAGGTAAATCACATGTTCTAATCATATAAATCTTGATTTTGACACAAGTTTAATACACTGAAGTTCAATTTCGCTTGAAAAGTTTAGAAAAATATTGTACTCACAGTTTGCACTTCACAATCACCTTGTTTCACTATTTACGCTGGCGATGACATCTGAAGCTGTTGCATCTTCTTTTGTCCTTTGGTTTTCGGCAGCCGGCACCAACTACTTGCAGCAGCACCTCCGCAGTTCACACTAAGTTTGCACTATGGCACCGTACAGGGCGCCTCTAGCGCCACGGCTTAACCGCGTACTCGGTCTGCGCAGCGATCCACTGCAAGTACGCGGGAGTGGTCCTTAGATAAGAACCACAACGTCGTCAAAAAATTCGAGCTAATCCGACTCGATGTAGACCAAATGTTTAATGGTGGTCTTGCTGAACTATTGCACTGTTGAACTGTTGAACTAATTTGGGTACTATAGAGGTTACAATAAAACACTATGTACTTTACAATTCTTCTTTTTAATATTTGATTTATTTGACTATACACTTGACTGGTGAGATAAATGATAGCCCGTGTTTAAGTCGCCCAGCGCCATCTACATTTCTTTATTGCTACTAATGATAGCCTTAAACACCCTGCGCAAGCTACGTAAAGACGTTATATTATTTTGACAAAATTTATTATTTCTATTTACTTAAATGACATTATTAATATTTTCACCAAAATTCACATGAATTAAAATGATCAATAGTTAAGATTAAATATTTATTGACATTTCATTTTAAATAAATATGTGTATTATTTGGTTTGATATTTAATAAATTAATTAATAATAATGTATAGATTATGTACCCTAAAAATTGTAATCATCTTAATATGCTGCGCCCGTACAGGGTTCTCAAATGTTCTGTAGATATATTGTAACAACTTTATACTTTATGACATGCAATAAATGAATTATGAATTATAATGTATATAATTATTAAGTATTAAATGTTTGTAATTATTAAAATAATAGTCAAATGAAAAATAAAGCAGCCATTATGTACTACGTGAATGTACTCCGTGAATATGTCCAAGCTTTAAAGCGCAACCATTTGGCGTATCGTGCGGAAAGCTAGTTTCAATCGCTGTAAAAATATTGGTGCAAAACATTTGCCCAGTTCATTCAGCATTAGAGCTTTCTGGTTTGCCAAAGCGATAGATGCAAACTTTTGTCAGCCTATACTGCCTCCATTGGTAAACCGGATGGCACACTAACACATATGGCTAAAGAAAATGCACTTATTGCTTCTTTTTTGCGTGTAATTCACGTGTAGACAGTGGCAATAACTTTTCACTTCAATTACCTTACTACAGTACTTTAATGTGAGAGATCCGCATGAATAATAAAGAGATTATTAAATTTTTGCAGAGTCCAAACGTCAACAAAGCTAGTGGACCATAAAGTATACCAAATGTAGTCCTAAAGACTTGTGAATCTGAGTTGTTTCCTGCGTTGACACGCTTATTCCACCTCTTATTAAGGACAAATCCTGAAAGCTGACTAATGTGCAACTTGTTCCAAAAATGACAACTGTGGTGACCCTGCCCATTACTGATCAATCTCAATAAGCAAGGCTGCCACTTGCACTCAAATTTAAACAGCAAAATTAAACATAAAATTGGCTTTACGATTTTTTTTCTAATGATATTATGTTTAAGAAGCTGTCAATGTCACATGTATTTATTGATTTATTAAAAATAGTGTAAGTCCACCTCTAAAATAGGACTGCTCTATAGATTGCTTCATACTGCAACTACGGTTTTACGCAGAAAATTTGAATATAAAGAATATTAGATTAGATTTTATTCAGACAAATATTTAAAATATCTAAAAAAATAAATAAAAGTGTGGTCGTTAATGTTTATGTATTGAAAGTCGGTAGTGTTGTATGTTTATGTATTCACCCCCTTGTACTACGAGTTGCCAATTTTTACATGAAATATAGTATTTTCATGGCTATTAAAGTTGAACGAAATGATAATGTCAGGAGTCTGGACAATAGATCAGATGAAATGGCACTCGAATTAAAAAGAGCTGTTCCCATTATATGCATCAATCAAGAACCAATTACACTGCCCACAGAATGCTCATACATCTGAAATATCGAGCCCTTTTGTCAT